ATAAAGCTGAATCTGAGAACCAACTTGACAGGAAGATCAAGATTCTAAGATCTGATCATGGAGGGAGTATACCTCAAATCATATGACTGAATATTGTCAAGAACATGGTATTATTCATGAGGTTACTGCTCCCTATATACCACAGTCTAACGGGGTAGCTGAACGAAAGAATAGAACCCTAATGGACATGGTGAACTGTATGTTACTCAGTTCAGGAGCACCTGAAAATCTTTGGGGTGAAGCTCTTCTTTCTGCTTGCTTTATTCTCAATAGAATTCTCCAGAAAAATTCTGATACAACTCCTTATGAATATTGGAAAGGGAGATCTCCTAATCTGAATTTCTTCCCGGTTTGGGGTTGCTTGGCTAAAGTAGCTATTCCCGAACCTAAGAAGAGAAAATTTGGTTCTAAGACTGTAGATTCTGCTTTTATTGGATATATACTAGATAGCAATATTAACAGATTTCTAGTTATCAAATCTGAAATCAGTGACATATCCAACAATACCATCATTGAAGCAAGAGATATAGTCTACTTTGAAAACATCTTTCCTTTCAAATCTAAAATCTCAGAAAATCCCAGATCATCCATTCCTTCTGATCTACCATCTTCCAGTTCTTCTCAACCTCTTGATATTGAACCTCATTCCTTCTGATCTACCATCTTCCAGTTCTTCTCAACCTCTTGATATTGAACCTCGAAGAAGCAAAAGACGTAGAATCGAAAAGGATTTTGGAGAAGACTTCCTTACCTTTCTTGTTGAAGGTGATCCAAGTTCATTGCAAGAAGCAATGGATTCACCTGAATCTCCTCTCTGGAAAGAAGCCATTGATAATAAAATTAAATCTATCATGGAAAACCATACTTGGATACTCACCGACTTACCTCCAGGTTGTAAACCTATTGGTTGTAAGTGGATATTCAAGAAGAAACTCAGAGCTGATGGTTCCATAGATAAATTTAAAGCTAGATTAGTAGCTAAAGGCTATACTTAACAAAAGGGCATTGATTATTTTAATACCTATTCTCCTGTAGCCCGAATCTCAACTATCCGAGTATTATTAGCCTTTGCTGCTATCCATAAGCTAATCATACATCAGATGGATGTCAAGACTGCTTTCCTGAATGGTGATTTAGATGAAGAGATCTATATGCACCAACCTGAAGGTCTCATTGCCAAGGGTCAGGAAAACAAACTCTGTAAGCTTGTTAAATCTTTGTATGGTCTTAAATAAGCTCCTAAACAATGACACCAGAAATTTGACAACGTTATTGCACAATATGGCTTCACTGTGAATGAACACGATAAATGTGTCTATTCTAAAGTGATAAACAATGACTATGTCATTCTCTGTCTCTATGTTGATGATATCCTTATCTTTGGAACAACACTTGAATTAATTTCAAAGGTTAAGGATTATCTTTCCAAAAACTTTGATATGAAAGACTTAGGTCTTGCAGACATGATACTTGGAATGAAAATCTCTAGAGACACTAGAGGAATATCTTTGAGTCTTTCCCATAGCATTGATAAAATGCTAATCAAATTCAACTTTCATAACTCTAAACCAGTTTCCACACCTTATGATTCTTCTATATCCTTGAAGAAAAATGAAGGTGAACCTGTCTCCCAGCTGAAATATTCTCAGATGATTGGATCTCTTCTTTACATATCCAACCGAATCAGACCCGATATAGCTTATGCTGTAGGGAGACTGAGTCGGTATACTAGCAACCCTAGCAAAGATCATTGGACTGCCTTAGAAAGAGTATTCAAATATCTGAAAGGCACAATTGTCTATTGCTTGACTTACACTGGTTACCCTGATGCTATAGAAGGGTATAGTGACGCCAATTAGGTCACGGATTCTAACAGTGTAAAGTCTACATCTGGATATGTATTTCTTTTTGGTGGTGCTGCTATATCCTGGAAATCATGTAAGCAAACAATAATTGCCAGGAGCACCATGGAATCTGAGCTGATTGCTCTTGTTACTACTTGCACAGAAGCCGAATGGTTAAAATATCTTATCTCTGAACTTCCTTTGGTCCCTAAACCCTCTCCTCCTATTTTCATTCACTCTGATTCTAGATCTACCATAGAGCTTCTAAAGCAAGTACATGTAAATAAAAAACATAACAGACATATTCAAATAAGATATAAGTCTGTACAACGCCTATTAGGCAAAATTATGATCTTGGACTTTGTAAAGTCTGAGAAAAATCTTGCTGACCCTTTGACTAAGGGATTATCCAGGAGTAAAGTCTGAGAAAAATCTTGCTGACCCTTTGACTAAGGGATTATCCAGGAGTGTGGTTCTGGATTCATAGATGGAGATGGGGTTAAGCCCATAAATGAGGTCACTGACAACGGCAACCCAACCCTTATTTGGAGACGTAGTCCCAATGTCGGTTCAATGTGGTAGAAACAAGCTGGACAAGTGACTCTCGTGTGGAGCATCAACCTAGATATATTTATATATCATTATGTAGCATTTGCTACTACCCCTTCTCTATGATGACGATGCTCTTATGATACAGCTGGCTAGGCTGAGTTTTACTCTTAATAAGTCCAACGCGTGTATTGTGGGGGGTATTAAATAAACAGCTATAGTACCTTTTGAGGACTTACCTACTTGACAGGAACCGTGATGGTCGCGGTTGGGGGGGGCAAGACTGACCCCTAGAAACTCTCATGAGTCGGTTTTTTGTGAGCATGACCTTTAACGCTCAACCCGCTTAGCTCAATAGATGAAAACGTATTGTGTGTGTTTTTATCAACACCTGATCCAATGGGCCTAATTCAAGGCCTAGTCCATTATGTCCCTTAGGTGGTGATGAACTAACTAAGGAAAGGTTCAAAGCCGAAAGTTACCTCTCCCGAATTCACGATACGAAAGGTTGCCCAACCTACATTTATTTTGTGATTTATTTATTGATTTATTATTTTCAGTCAATATTGCCTTTTGAGGGAGACTGTTGGATGTTTTGTTCATGAAAAAGCAATTTTGCCTTTGTGAATAGTCCCACATTGAAAAATGAGATGAATAGTATAGGGTATATAATGGTTCTCTCCTTATTGGGCTTTGAATAGTGTTTTGGGTTTTGTGGGCTTTGCATATCTACCACACATGCGCGCGCACCGCGCGCCACGCCGCACCGCACACGCACACATTTTTGCTTCTCAAGCTTTTATTTTTGCACGTTTTACTTGTTCTGTAACGGGTGCATGCGGGTAACGGAAGCAATATTTGTGCGTAATGGTCCCTTGGATTCAGCGGGGGTTACACCTCTCCTCACCTATATAAGCAGGGTTAGAGCTCATTCAAGCACACCAATGAAGAGAAGAACTTCTAAGCTCTTTTCTTTAACTACTCTCATTTCTCCAAGAAATTTCGGCTACATATTTATATTTCTATTTTTGGGCAACCGTTTTCGTCTGAGCATAAGCTCTGTGACTCACGCCCGAGTGCAGAGCCCGACCGATTCCGGGGGTTTTTACCGCTAGGGGAGAGGGGATAAATTGCGCCAGGGCGATAGGCATGTCCTTAATCTTCTAGGGCAGTGACATCACGACTGCTGCCGATCAGACCTGAATTTTTTAACTCTTTAATTTGTTTTTTATATTATTGTATTCCTATTTTAACAGCATATATTAGTATGTCTCCAGAATGATGTACATTAAACTTTTCACTCACTATCACCGCCAAACGGATTAATATGTTGCAGTCATGGTTAACAATAGCCCATCATTTTCTAGATCAAAATTCTCTCTCTTTCCTTACGTGGAAGCTAATTCTTCTGCAGGAATTGGAACAGTACAAGATCACTAGCAAGCCGCTATGTGCAGATTCTTGGCCTATTCTTAGTAGTTTGTCAGTTGAATGGTAGCTTGAGAACCAGTTGCCTAACTCTTGTACCTGCATTAAAGAATTTATTTGAAAACTTGTGCTATACTAGAGCTGCAGCAGTTGTGCAGGAAGCCATTGATTTGGCATAGAACATTTGTAATGGGTGTTGGTATGGGCTTCAGAAGAGGATGAATTGCTAAGTGAACACATGGACATGCCAGTAAATGAGATATTCTGCTTTCCTGCTTAAAAATTAGCTACAAGTCTAAAGAAACTGACTGATGATTACCTGCTTGTTTCTTTTGAGTACTGAAGGCCTCGATAGGTGTCCAAAGAGTTGCAGGCTAAGATGCTCAAACAATCTCAGTCCAAGCGTTAAGAGGGGGAAGTTTGAGAATTCGGAGGTGGATTTTATCATTAGGCTTTACAACCTGTTGGGCAACAAGTAATTAGTCTGCTGATGGGATGTTAAATGGGTGGGTATGGTCTATAAAAGGGAGGGCGATAAATGGGCGGGTAGATTTTGCCCATTTATGACCTTTAGCAATTGCTAAATAGGTGGGTTTTTGCCCGCCATTTAATAAGCGGGCGGCCTATTTGGCCATTTAACTACAATTGTGTTGTATATATAAACTTCAAGGTCTTTCGGCAAACTTTCAGGGGCTCTTTGTAAACTTTCAAGGGATATTTGCAAATTTTTTTTT